TCTTTCAAATGCGACTGTAGCTTTTTTTCCCCAAAAACTTTGTCTTCAAAATACGGCATGTCAGAAAAGCTTTGTATCATTACAAAGAACACGTAGGTTAGATATGATTAGAGTTGGCATTAAAAAACCTCAGTAAAAACGATATACTGTAGCCAAATTTCTTCGATATCATCATTTCTTAGGAGACTCAAGACAGATTATTCTACCAGTAGAAGTGCACAATAAAGCATCCGAACTTCTGTATCATAGCAACGAATTTACATTCACAGTGACATTGAAGCAAGAAGAACGAAATACAGGAACAATTCTATCATTTTCTGAAGGAAATAATAGGTAATGTATCTTTTAAGTCATATGCCTGATTTGGGTCTGCTAAGCTGAATTTTTTTAGTGTCTAAAGGTTAAACGATGTTAGTAAAACTGTTTTTTTGTTTGTTTGTTCTGCGTTGTATGACTTGGGTGTATGTATTGGGTCGCTAATGAAATCTTGTTCACGTTTGTAAGCCATGCATTAATAAGACGTTATCTCGAGAAATATTTGAAATTATTAGCAAATGTCACTATATTTTCAACCATATTTTCTTTGTTTTAATTAACCTCAAACTTTTTTTTACAGTGTTATGTTACAATTCATTATTATTCGAGTTCTGACTTAACCTCAAACTTTTTCTTATAGTGTTATGTTACAATTCATTATTATTCGAGTTCTGATTTAACCTCAAACTTTTTTACAGTGTTATGTTACAATTCATTATTATTCGAGTTCTGATTTAACCTCAAACTTTTTTTTACAGTGTTATGTTACAATTCATTATTATTCGAGTTCTGATTTAACCCCAAAACAACCCATGAACGATACAATTTACAAATATATAGTTTATGTCCTTAATTCATTAACAACAGCTTTAAATTTTTACCAGAGTTCTCGCACATAGTTATTGTTTTAAGTGTTTGTTAAATATTTGATTGTTGTTATGCGCAAAGCAACACAATGGACTATCTGTGCTGTGCCCACCACAGGTATCGAAACACGGTGTGATAAATATATTTAAGTGTGTTAATTTAGCCCTAGGTATTGTTCTCTACGGCAGGGCACAGTAAAATGTTGTATATACTGTATTATGGGATAAGTGTATTGTAACCAATGTACCCTGAGTGTGAGGCTAGGCTACCTTTGAATATCACGTGGGGTGAGAAATGCCACCAAATTCCTAGAATTTCGTTATATAATTTAATTGGTCAAGCTATAAGGAGAATGTGAACTGTGAAAGCAGTTTTGTCATTTTCAGAGCTCTCATTCAGCTCTAGAAGAACACTTTTTTTCCTCCTTAATATTCCATCTACAAAATTTATAGAAAAAATCAGATTTTTTTTTACTAGACTAGAAATATCCGAGAATTAAAATGAATAAAACATCAGTTTTATATGGTTATCTGACCAAAGTATTACGGATGTAAATACAATAAGAGAAACTTGTTTTGTATCTTCATGTGAATATTCTGGTGGCAGTATAAATAGAACAATGAAAAAAAAATACATGTTTTTAGTTTATTTAAGTGTTCTGGTGAGAAATTGCATAGAGAAACCATTTTAGCGTTTTTATTTAAACACTCTGAGGGCAAATTTAATAAGGAAACTAGTTTTGCATATTTATTTTTTACGAACTTTGAGGGCAAAGTGAATAGGAAAACGAATTTGTGTGATAAATTTACTTAAGCACTTTAAGAAAGTGACTGGGAAAATAGTTTTGTATATTTAGTTTACCTAAGCACTTTGTGGGAAGAAGAAATAGGGAAACCAGTTTTCTATTTTTAGTTTGCTTAAGCACTTTGAGGGCAAAGTGACTAAGAAAACTAGTTCTTATGTTTAGTTTATCTAAGCACTTTGTGGGCAAAGGAAATGGAGAAACCAGTTTTGTATTTTTAGTTTACTTAAGCGCTTTGAAGGCAAAGTGACTTAGAAAACTAGTTATATATGATTAGTTTACTTGAGAACTTTGAAGACAAAATAAATAGGGAAACCAGTTTTGTGTGTTTACTTGACTTGAATATTCTGGGGAAGATTGAACAGAGAAAAACTACTTTTCTTTTGGTTTTCTTAGGGTTTAAAATTAATAGATATGCGAAATTAAATTAACCAATGAAGGTTTTTTAACATAAGTTATTTAAAGTTATACATTATACTTAACACAAAACATCAGTCTTTTAAGACTGTTAATGCTAGTTTTAGACCTCCGGTGCCTCAGCATTAAGCCTGAGAGTTTTAACACTAAAATTCGATACCCGCGGTCGGAAGAAGAGTACAGATAGCCCATTGTGTAGATTTGTGATTAGCAAGAAACAAACTAAAAATGGTAATTTTAACAATGACCTAAAAGGAAAAGCGCATTACAACAGCATTTCTTTACCTTAAGTCAGTGATTTCCAAACTTTATGTAATGGTGCCCCCAACTCAGCATTATTTTGCACGATCTCTCCTTTATACCTCATAATTTTCACAAGTGATAATAACAATAACGACCAATATCTCGTTTAGTTTTTCAAATTTACATTATGTGTTAATTATTTTATTCTTTTTACATTTTGAGCACGTTATGAGTTAGATCTATCACGATTATTATTAGTTTGTTTTTACGTTAATGATGTGGCATTGAGTGACGTCTTATTTTACTTCAGTTTTTATTTGCTTATTAATATATCGTGTTTTTTTATTATTATTTTTTGTAAATCAGTTTGTTTTTATCAAATCACTTATTCTCGGCAGGTTTCTGGAAGTGCAAACAAGTGGAAGGAAGGACGAGATTCGGTTTCATTACACGTACGAAGATATGCTATACGTAGAAACATTCCCTTATCGCTTGGCGGATAACACCTGGCATCAATTAGCCCTTACCGTCAGTGGAAACAACATAGAAGTCTTTGTGGACTGCACCAAGATCTATACACGAGTACTTAAGGAAATAGAACGTGACTTCACTGGGAAAAATATTTCTCTGTGGTTAGGGCAAAGAAACGCCAGACATTTTCTATTTAAGGTAGGTCCCATATAAAAGTACATACGCTCAGGCCTGCTTTAATATTAACAGTTTAAGTTTAATGTAGGCAGCTGCGGAGGGCTGCAAAATTAAGAACATTTCATGTTAATTTGAATTTGAATAGAATAAACTACATTGCATTTGCTTTACATCATTTTTCCTTTTTTCTGACCTGGAAGCTGTGTTCATAAACACAAACAATATATGTGTTAGATACCTCAAATGTCTACTAAATTCAAGAATCTTGACCTAGCTTATATATGGTAAAGATGTACTTCACACGTCATAAAAAAACGAGGAAAATCAAGTTCTCCAAAACTAAATAGTTCGAATTAAGACACAGACAGGGACCCGGTATGGCCAGGTGGTTAGGGCGTTCGACTCCTAATCTGCGGGTCGCGGGTTCGAATCCGGGTCACACCAAACATGCTCGTCCTTTCAGCCGTGGGGACGTTATTATGTGACGGTCCATCCTACTATTCGTTGCTAAATTTGGGACGGCTATCGCAAATAGCCCTCGTGTAGCTTTGCGCGAAATTCAAAACAAACAAACACAGCCAGGTCTTCTTGAATGAAATATTGCTATATATATACATACACTGTTGTAACGTCTTCTAACGCTGGACAGGTTCTTTCAGATCATTTGGTAAAATAATACCAAGTAACGATAACGAATTAATTTATTTCTTGAATATCGTTTGTTGAATAAGTTCAGTTATAGGTCTAATTTTATAAATAAGCTCCACAACTAAATGTAAGTCTAACTTCAAATACAATCTGCTAAAATACACTGAGAGACGAACACCTAACTTCATTAGTTTTGTTGGAGAAACAAATACGTAACTAACCAAGTAACAGAATAGGCACAATCGGAGACATCGCTAGGTTGTTAAAGGATTCGGGGCTCGGGCCCATAGGCGCGAGAATTTTCGGCGTTTAAGTATGATTTTATTTGGTTTCTTAAGACACTAACTGGCGATTCGGGGCACTGTCATAGAATCGAGGCACAGGTCCCCATGTGCCAGCGCCTAGCGACGCCTCTTGGCACGATAATTCCCACTTAATAACTCTTCTGACACTGAACTAACCGAATTTACTCAGTTAGTCAATGATTACTTATATCCTACTCTATTGTTTAGTCCAGGAAGCTTCTTAATTCTTAACTTTCATATACTTTTCTAGATCGTGACGGTATCTTAATGACGAGCTCTCTCTAATAAACATTGAAAATATATCTTACAACAATATGGTTACCGATTATAATGGTACATGGGTTCCACTGGAGACCGTATTTTGATTTTTTGTCCAGGACGACAAATTACTTAAGGCCGGCCCTGATGATACACCATACCCAGTGTCTTTGTTTCATATTCTATTTCTACATTTTTAAATATTAAAGTTTTAAGGTTCCATCTAATTTATCATTAATATTAATGGCTTTATATTTCATTGTATGTCTATCCTTTGTGTTTTGTAATAAAGCATCCTTTAAAGATTTTATGCCCGGAATTTGCAAAAGTCCCAGCATCACATTTTTAGTGTATGGTATAACTGTTACCAATAAAGATAAGTTCAGATGACTGGTGCACCTATACTAAGAAAAAACATGTAGGTTATAGCTAAGTAAGCCATTATCTTTGTATTAGAACTGTCAGTTAAATGTTCAAGTTACTGGCCCATTGTACCTGTTCTCAGAACTAACTTGCATGAATGTATCTGATTTAGTACCTGTTCTGACTATCATATGACAAGAGTGTGGGTTTTTGATCATGATATCTACTTTGATAATTAGTAGACTACTCTAGTTAATTGCATGGTATAAGAATGTGTTACAGTTGTGTTGCCCTTGAAATTACTTTCTCCATCACCTGTTGTGCTCATTCTTACTATCATGATTACACATTAGTGCCAAAAAACACAGTTTCCATTCTCACAAGATCCTACAAAGGTTGACAAGGTAAAATTTATACCATATATCTTGGCAAACTTTCCAAAGACCCTCTACTGTCAGTGAACATCAGCTTCATTTAAGCACAAGAGTCCATTGGACCTGCAATGGGGGACTTAGCAGGTATGTGGACACATGAATGACTGTAATACCAATTTCTTTGCCTATCTCTTTTATGAAAACAGTCATTTCATTTTGATATGTAGCTGAAAGTTTGTGAACTTTTGAGCCTTTGTCAACTCAAAATATTTGTTTGTTATATCCCTAGTTTCATTATATTGACTTTTTTGGGTTGGAGGGTTCTGTTTCATAATCATAGCCTTCACAGGTTGTTTAGTGGTATGTTTGAGAGCTCATTCATGTCATAAATGTTCTGATGTCTTGAGTTTTTTCACAACCATAAAAAAACACTAAAGGATCTATGTTTTCAAAAAGTTATGTCCTTTGTCTCTAAGTTAATGATTTTGTTATACAAATATCTTTCCTTGGTAAAGCTGTGACATGTACCTCTAACAATATTAGGTCAGTCATAACACTAATTTTAAAACTATTATTTTATGGAGTAGCTTATTAACAACTTATACTATATGTACATCCACAGGATCCCCGAAAGTGTTCTTTTTCAAGAGTAAATAAAACCAAAATTAAGAGTAACAATTATTTTTATTTATTGCTTTTCAAGTTTATATGTCATTATGTGTTGTAGCCTGCAGAGTGCATAATACTTCTCGTGATTCATGGTATGTGCATGTTTTATTCACGTTAGGACAGTACAAATTACAATGTAATTGTCCCTTGTGTGATGTCATTTTAGTGCATACTGACTGAATAACAGACAATTGTATAGTTGTGCAAGTGGTTAAAACAGGTGACCCCTCCAGGCGGCCTTCGGCCCC